GACACGTGAAAACTCGTCCAACCACACCCTCTCTCCGCGTTATACATGAAGCGACGCGGTTTCGCATAGGTTTTACATGGGGCATTTTTTTTTTTTTCTCTACTTTTGCGCTATTCACCATCCCGGGGAAAACGAAGTCTCCATGCGCGACTAAAGTCTATCAGACTTGATAGGAAGCGCGCGACAGTGGATTACCCTGATCTTTGCACGCTACCGTACATTTCCCCACGCCTCTCGATACAGAAGACAGCCTACGAGCGCAGTAGCTAGAAGAGTAGACGCCATTGTCTAGACATCCCTCAACCTTTATCCTCTGACCTCTCTACGTGCTCTCAGTGTTTCTTCGTAGTATGCTAATATTGGTCAGAATCAGTTGAGAGAAAAACCTCAATGCTTGTCTCAACTGCACCTGCAGGCTCCCATTTTGGTTCCGTTACCTCATCGTTACCGCCTATTATGCCTTTGAGTGATGTCCGGTCCTAAGCCGTTGCTTCTGAGAAAACATCCGAACAAATAAACGCTAGTTAGCATTTAATTTGTGTTCATTTGCAGGAAAAATACTGTCATTATCAACAAAAACGATGTAAACAATGGTAGATCTGTAGTAGAATGCCTACCTACAACAGCGGCAATTATTCTTCAGCTGTCGACCCAAGAAGTAAAAAAATGCATAAACAGGACAATCTGATTTTTCATAATTTTCTTGCTACCGTTTCTTTCATTCTCAGTCTTTCCAAAGAGCGAAAATTAAATAAAAATAAATTCGCTAAGTGTTGTCGCTATACTCATGATTACATAGGAAGGGAAAAGCATAGATTGATATTTTGTTGTATTACCAGGATGAATCAATCAACCGCTGATTTGGGACAGGACGCAGTGGCTATTCGTGAACGACAAATAGCCGCCATAATCATATTTATTGTAAGTTTTGAAAATCTGAAAGATAAGTCTCAGCGGCTCTATAGAGACATTTTGTAGACTCCTGTCAAGCAGGAAAGCTTCAGTTGGGGATAGGATCTTTTTCAAAGCATTTTGAGATGCAATCGGCAGCGCGCCGCACCAGCTGGTTAGCCAATCCCAAGCTTTAACTCCCCACACGAAAAGGGGCCTAAGGGAATAAAGTCCCGGCTCACATCCACACAGATCACCAAAGGTTCTTTATATTTTCGGCAGGCTGAAATGACTCCGAAATAAAAGGGCTAGATAAACAATCATCGGCGCGCAAATGAAGTAGTAAATTTTAAGACTATGCACTTGAGTTTACATCTTCCAACAAAATGGACTAAACGAAGATCGTGGCAATAACTCACTGGAGGGTCGGCGAACCCTGACCACCCTAGCCGCTGCAACTTCAATACGAAAGGGTGAACGAACATGAGGCATACCAGTAGTTGCCTGCAGGATAAAGGCAATACTGCATAAGTTTGGAGCGAACTGGAACACTCGAAGATACGCTAGGTCGTGATCCTTTCCAGAAACGGATCGGTCCTACTTTTTTTAAAGTCCACATTAGCTTCCTACCTCTTCCCTTTGCATCCCGTACTCCGAGCGAAAACTTCAAAACCACGAAAACCCGGCTCCGAAAGATGAAAGCATTGCAGACGTAGAATAGGATCTCATTCATTTCGCGAACTATTCCGGAACGGATAAATGGGATGACTACAGACTGCTGTTGATCAGTCCCTTTTTTCTAATGAGCACCCATTCTGATTCGCTAGTCATAAAAGTCGTAGCGACTCATTGTAACTGCGCTGATGTCATTTAACGAATGGCGCCATGTACGAGGCAGCGTTCTTGTTCCTCCAGATAAATCTTGGTACAATAATATTATATCCAATAAGGCAAGGGCGGTAGACAGGACCTCTGTTTTCCCCTATGCAGAAACGATCACCGCATCTTGAACCCGATCCAAGAGCCCAACGAGCGCGGCACTAAACACCTTCGCCCTACGGGCTGTATTATTTTTTCTTTATCCTCTTGGAAACGTGGACAAAAAAAGATAATTCGCAAATTGATTCCAGATAGCATTACTCTGGCCCCACATTTGCAACGCATTGGTGGCGCTCTTTCTGCCGTACTTTGCCTCCGACTCTCAAAATCCTTTGGACGCTGACAGCCAGCCATCTAACTGGGAAGAAATGATACTTTGCCAATGTTTGCCTTCTGAATTACGTTCGCAAATAGGTTCTTCTGTAAGTACTCGTTATGGTTTCAAGATTTGACACTTCTTGCGTGCCCGAGGTAACATCGACCTGATGCTTATTTGTAGAAAAATTGAGGAAATGGGTCGCACATATGGTCCAATGAAGAACTTTTGATTGTAGAATCTGTTAGTTCCTGGCTCACTATACAGGGTGGGCCAAAAAAAGTCGCTTTTCTTCATTGACTTTCGAAGCGCTACAAGTCATACTTTATTGAAGGATCTCATCGGACATTTTCACCACCATATCAAAGAGCATATCAAATACTATCATCGACATGTGCCGCCACAGCCTGGACGAGGCGCATGCGAGAGATTCTGGCAGGCGAACCGCATCGACCGCGATGTGGGTGCCTGACATCAAGCGAGATGTCGAATTTCCTTCCGTCTGTCCGTAGACCACCGCTGTTGATCCTGACCGACGGGCGATTGGAGGGATGTCAGGTGCAGTGGCTATACGATATTCCATCTCCAGGTATCCCGTCTTCGCATTCCAAGTAGGCGAGGTGTTCTCCAACGCCCTTTGATTTCATGTTGGTAGCCACTGTACTTAGCCGTTGTTAGCACTACAAAGCGGTTGGAGCGACACATGTGAGGAGGATATTCTTCACGAGTTGCCCAATGTAACCGCCAGCGCTCACCTTAGTCCGGGGTCCACGAAGAAAATATTGGTCTTTCCATTCCAGGTACGTCCGGTACATACCATAAACCCGCGCCTTGGCGGCTGCCGATGAGATGATCGTTTTCCCCCCCCCCCGGCGCCCTAGACGCCGTGGCGACGTCTGTGGGGAGCTGCTGGTGGAGGTCTGCAGACAGAGAGTATTACCTCTCCAAGTTAGCCACCATCGGATGACTCCATAACTAGAAGTTTCGGCAGGCTTGTTTTGGAGGTGACATGATTTCCAAAGGTCTTCTCCAGTCAGGCTGCGATGAGATGACTCATATTTTGGTGTACATGAAGGTGATGGGCGAGGGCCAGCTCCTGCTTATCGAGGAACATCTTGGGTATCTTCCGCCCTGGTACTCGTATCCACGTCCTCTCTGGGCTGCGAAAACTTTGCTGATATGTGACTCGGTCGAAGTGACTTTTTTTGCCCCCCCCCCCCCTGTATACTCCGTCCACCCAGAATGTGGCAGTTAGTGTTACTATTTGTTCCTGATGATTGACCGGAGGTGCCTTCCGCCCCAACTCCACTCGGTCATGCTGGCATAGGAAAAAAAGAGAGGGAGAGGAGCTGTTGCAAGAAGGAAAAGTCTTCCTCATGTACAATGGCTAACTTTGGGCTGATTACTGAGTGGGAGCTACTTCCAGTAGGCTCACGAGGAACTGTGAACCGTACAAGCCAGCTGCACATACACACTGATCAGAGATTGAAACAATCGAATGGAACAGATCAGGACTCCCCCCCCTCCGCCCACCCTGTTTATTCCACAATTCTCCATACCCCAATATAGCAACGGACATTACCAACAAACAAATCTATAAACATGTAAAAAAAATAATAAACATTTCTCAGTGATATTGGCGTCATGAAGGACAACTCTGGTTATGTTGGTGCAATCCTCCTGGTCTGCTATGATATTGTCATATTCTCCCATTTGGTTATTGCCATTAATCGCATGTCCGCTGTTTTCTTCCCATTGCACTACACTGATCACTTCAGGTGAGCTAGTAACAAGTTTTCTTTGCAGATCGTGAGGTTTATTCACTAGAGTTAACTGGCT